TGCTCGATGAGGAAGGCGCCGCCACTCTGGCCGCGCGCCTCGCATAGTGCCAACAAGTTCAGCGTCAGGGTGTTACTTTCCGCTACTCTAGCGGCCTCCCAGGCCCTGAGGCCTGGCAGCCCCCAGGGGCACCGCCGCGAGCCACTGGCGGCGGCCCTGGTCGGCGACGATTGTAGCGAGCCCGCGACCAGGTCGAACAGGGCGGGCCTCCCAGCACGACGTCCACCCAGCCGCCTTCGCACAGCTCCATCAAAGCGGAGAAGGTGGGAGGGCTGGCCAGGTCCCACCGCGGGTCGTCAAGGAGATCGGCAGAAAGAAAGAGCACCCTCAGGCTCCGCTCCATCGCCAGCCTCTCTACCACCTCCTGAACGTCGCCACGCCGCCGACGGCCAGCAAAGAGATGCATCACCACCATCGCGCGCTCGTCGTCCCGCTTCGCCCGCCTCACCGCCTCTAGCCACTCCGCCACGCTGTAGCCCGACGGGCTAGGCGGCGCGGCGCGGCAGCTGGACTGCTGCCCGAGCCAGTCGTCGTCGTAGCGATGCTGCTGAGCGTCCTCAGGTCCGGCATCCCCCAGGTCGTCCGCCTCCAGCCCCCCGTCCTCGGGCGGCGAGGCGCGCGGCGCCCCGCTGGCCCCGCCCTCGGCGGGCTCCGCGGCGCCCGCGAGCGCCCCCAAGCGAGCGCCCACGCCCAGCAGCGCCCTGCCGATGATCGCCATGTTGACCGTCATGAGCAGGCGCACGGAGTGCGAGCCGCCCATGGCCAGGCGGTGGTAGCAGGGGGCTATCCAGCCCGTCGGCCCCACCAAGTCGCGCAAGCGCTGGCTGAGTTTCCCCCGCACCCAGCAGGCGCGGATCGGCGGGCAAGCCTGCCACTTGGCCATCCAAGCGGGGACGCGGAGGCGGGTGAAGCGTTGTCCTCGTCGAACGCTGCTACGCCCCACTCGTCCGTCGGGACGCACATGGAGGCGATGGCCGCTCCGCCGTGCATCCCGTGGTCTCCGCGCTGGTGGGGGTCGGCCCACACGTAGTTGCTGGCACACATCATCAGGACCTTCCGCTGCTTGGTGGGGTCCTTCTTGGGCACACAGCTGAACCCGCAGTAGGCCTGGACGTCGTTGGGGTCCTCGAACGTCCACATGTCCTTCGGCAAATCGGCCCGCATCATGTAGCGGGCGTACTCGGACGTCGAGCCCCCCACGAAGGCGAAACGCTCCTCCAGCGCCTCGAAGAGGACCCCCGACTTGCCGCTGTAGTCTAGAACGTTCAGCTCGTCCGAGTAGTACAAGCGCTCGCCGTCAGGCAGCGCCTCCAGCAGGTCCACGACCATGTCGTCGGGGGGTTCTGCAACTGCCGCGGCGCACGTCATCACATGCCTGCTCACACCCTTGCGCTCTCCTGTGTAGGCATCCTGCGGTCCTCGGTCGCAGGCAAGATCCGCCCCTTGACCGCCTGTCGGGGCAAGCCCCCGGCAGTCGCGCTCGTGCCGCGCTGCGTCCTGTAACGCATACTGCTGCACGAGCTGCCAGGCCAGCATCATGTCGTCGTTGCTCGGCTCACGCTGGCCCGCTGGTCTCGCCTCCAGGGATCCGCGGTCCATCCCGTTCATGAGCTCGATGAGCCCACAGGCCCGACGCCACACACGCACGCGCCGAGCCCAGCGCGTCCTCAACCTGCCGGAAGAGGAAGCTCCTTGCTGTGGCCGATGAGGTAGAGGTACTGGAAAGAAAAACCTGGCCTCGGCCTCCTTCCACTGCAGGGCCCGCGTCAGCGAGCCAGGCAAACCCGCCACTGGCATTCTAGGCTGCACCCGCGGCAGCGGGGCACCTTCTCGGACCGGGGGGGGGTCGCAAGCCCCTCGGTCCGCCAGTGGCTGTCAAGCCTGAGGCTTGCCCCGGCCCGAGGGCTTGCCCCCTCGGCCGCGGCCGCGCCCCCCGCCATCGCCACCTCTGCCTCTGCCGCCGCCCGCCGCTTCGGCGCCGCCGCCAGCTCCACCTCCGTGACCACCGCCACGGCCGCCGCCTCGGTTGTCGTGCTTGCTGGCGGCGTGGACCCTCTCGTCACGCTGGTGCTCAGCCTTGCTGTGGGTCGTGGCCTCGGTCACCAGCCATGTGGGAGCCGAGTCGGCGGCCGACCCGGGCGGGCGTACGGCCAGCATGGCCGCCGCACCCACCTTGTCCTTCGTCCGCATCTCGTAGACGTAGCTCGCCAGCCGCCTCAGGTGCAGCTCCAGCGCATCGTCGGACGCCAGGCGGGTGAGCAGCTCGGACTGGGTCCTGCACCCGCCCAGCAAGTAGTCCACGTTGGTGGCGGCAGTCCACAGGTCGGTCCAGACTGCCGTGTGTCGCTGGCCCGTCACCTCCTGCGACAGCCAGTCGCGAGCGCTAGCCGCCCCAGCGCCCCGCATGGTGCGGTAGATCTCCGGCGCCGCGCGCCGCAGGTCCGGCGGGAGGCTGAGGTTCCATCGGCTGTCCTCCTGCTGCTGCTGGGTCACCGGGGCCACGGCCCACCCAGGGGAGGCGTGCATGCCCCCGCCGTGCGGCGCTGTGGCGGAGGAGAGCAGCGCGTCCAGCTCCTGCTGCAGCGAGCCACCTGGCGGGGACTTCGTTCCTGCGCCCACGTAGCCGTGGGTCTGCAGCACGCGACGGAGGTCAGGATGCAGCCCCATGGAGCCATCCACCGCCGCGATTCTCTCCCAGAAGTGCCAGGCCCAGTACACGTTCGTGGCCGCCTGCGCCTGGAACTCGCGCAGCGTGGCGCCCACCATCTGGACCTCGCGCCCTAGCTTCACCGCGTCTGCAGGAGCATGGGGCGCGTGGAAGCTGAGCCCCGACGTTGGCACGCCTACCTCTGGGCTCGGCTGTGGCTGCTGCTGCTGCTGCTGCTGCAGGGCCGCCGTCTGGCTGAAGGGGCCTGGCACCTCGGACCCCTGGCCGAACGCCCGCAGCGCCGCCAGGTCCTGCGAGCCGGGCTTTGCTGGCGGGGCGCCCCCGCCCACGCCTTCGGCAGGTGGGGCCCACGGCGACGGCGGCAGCGCTGCCAGCCCCGGGGGGTGCAGCGGGCCAGTAGGAGCCTCCGTGGCCCCCGCGCCACCCCCCTTGGTCGTCGGGGCCCCCTTCGCGTCCCAGGCCGCGCAGTCGTCCTCGGCGGCGGTCAGGTCCATGCCGTCCCCGCCGCTCCTCAGCGCCGCGGCGAAGGCCGAGCGCCGCCTCCAGCGTGCCCACCAGGCAACCACACTCTCGGGCACGCGCCGTACTAGCAGGACGGTGCCACACAGCCCCACAGCTGCGCCTGCCAGGCGGTGCCGCCCGGAGTCGGCCCCAAGCACCACCACCAGGCTGGACAGGAGGAGCCCTATGCCCAGGTGCAGCAACCAGTCGGTGGGCAGCGTGCCGCCGTCGTCGCCGACTGCACGGGCCCAGATCCGATCCGCGATCCTCTCCCAGCCATCGGTATCGGCCGCCACTCTCCTGATCCGGCTCTCCGCCTGCGTGGCGTACGTGGCGGCCTCAGTGAACCCCCAGAGGGCCTCGGCCATCTCAGAGCCCGGGACCTCCGGGCTCCCCAGCGCCAGGCGGATGGCCACCGGGTCCAGCGCTGCCTCCAGTCGTCTTGCCTCGTCCAGCTTCGAACGGGGGGCCCGCCCCGCGTTCAGCGTCGCCCTCACCTTCAGGACGAGGCTCGCGACGTCGTCGTCCGTAACGTCAGCACCAGCGGCCCGCAGCGCGTCGGTCCCCGCTTTCTTGGCTCCTGCCGACACTGCCATCCTGCCCTGCCTGGCGTCGTCGCGCCTGCGGCGCTCGGCGTCCAGCACACCAGCTCGCCGCGGCCTGCTGCTCCTGGGCAGCGCGCCACGGCCTCGCACAATCTATGATTCCACGGGTGGAGTCCGCTGCTCCCGTCAGGGCGCCATGCCGCGCCCTGCTGCGAGGTGGGCTGGGCGCCCAGTCCTCGCGATAATCTGTACCAGATTGGAGCCACATGAAACGGTTGCGGAGCAGGCCGTGCAGCACACGCGAGGGCAGGGGGCCTTCACGGGCAACCAAAACCAAACCTACCGAGCCCACCCGTTTTGGAGGGCCGAGGGGAGCCAGGCCGGGAACGTGGCCCACCGGCGAAAAGGCCCCCCCACAAGCTGGCACGCCCCTGCGGGCTCCGAGGCTCCAAGGAAAATTCCACGATCCCACCCCAAACTGTCGGTGCACATCAACACTCATGCTCTACGATTATTATCCCATCATCACCACCACCACCACCATCATCATCATCATCATCATCATCATCATCATCATCATCATCATCATCATCATCATCATCATCATCATCATCATCATCATCATCATCATCATCATCATCCTGCTTCTCCTCCTCCTCCTCCTCCTCATCATCCTCATCACCATCACCATCACCACCACCACTGCCATCACCATCACCATCACCATCACCATCACAACCACCACCATGATCATAGTCATCATCATCACCATCAGGTGCACCATCAACATGGCCACCATCATCATCATCATCATCATCAGCATCATCATCATCATTACCACCACCATCATCATCATCATCATCAAATTCATCATCATCATCAGCATCGTCGTCGTCAGCATCGTCGTCGTCGTAATAATCATCATCATCATCATCATCATCATCATCATCATCATCATCATCATCATCATCATCATCATCAGCATCATCATCATCACCAGGTTGGCGAATCGGATCAACACAGCTGGCCTGCCTGAAGGCGGCTCGTGCTGACTCCTCGTCCCATCCCGCTCCGCCGAGAATCTGGGCTCTGGACACGCTGAGGGCAGAGCGTAGCCCCTGCCGCCAGGGTGCGCGGCGTCGACTTTCATACAGTATTGACCGGTCGAAAGAGGATAAAAATGGGGGCATGATGGATGACGGGAATGTCTGGGATGAGCCTGGTCGTGAAGGATGATGAATGCGTCAAATGAAATGCGCGCAGTGAATATAACGGAACTGCACGTACGGAGAAACTGTGCAAATGAGCTGGGGAGCGGTGCGTACGAGGAAAGATAAGCCAAAGATGGTTTCAACGGTATCGACCCAATCATCGGCAAGAGCTATCGCAGCATCGGCGTCCGGTTAATGAGAGATCGAACTTTGGCGCACCAAGATGTACTCACGACTGTGCATTAGCCTTAAAGAAAAATCTGCAGCGCAACTTGTGTGCAGGCTGACGTTGCCCAGCGAGTGCCGCACTGGCGCCTCCTATATGCCTACAGTTTCCCGGTCACGCGCTGCCGAGTTGCCGCCAACGCCTGTCTATGCTCGGGCGTGTTTTCTCCCAAGAGGGTGGGCTGCCTGAGTAGGCTGCGGCAAATCACGTTAGGGCTTGGGGGTCTGACCCGACATGAGCGAGAAACGCCGCTTTTATGCACGGAGCTTGTCAAAGAAAGTCCTGAGAAAACCGTTAACGAAACCCGAATACGAAACAGCAACAACAACCAAGCGTTGTGATTATGGAAATTCACTGCGTTGGTCCACCGAGCTCTTGTAATCAATCGTGTTCCTGTGGTCTGCCCCATGCTCTTGTGATTTGCCGTGCTGCTGTGGTCTGCCATGCTGGGAATGGGAATGGCGGTGCCCCGAAGGCAAAAAGGCCCCGCCGACAGAAGGAAACAATTCTGCCGTGCTGGTTTGCCATGCTCATGTGGTCTAGCGTGCTTTGGTGGTTTGCCACGCTCCTGTGTTTTCCCGTGCTCTTATGTTCTGCCGCGCTGCTGTGGTATGCCATGCTGGTTTGCCTTTCTCCGGTGGTCTGGAAAAGCGGGGTCGTAAACGCACGTGTTCCTGTGTTCTGGTCTGCCGTGCTGATGTGGTCTGTCATGCTGGGAGTGGGGATGGAACTGGCGGGCCTTGCAGGCAAGATTCCCCCCCCCCAACGCAAAGCATGTCTCGCTGTCTGTATGCCTCCAGTCCCAGGGCGTGCACCTCAAATCGCCACTCACGGGAAGCTCACATATCGCGCAGAGGAGGAGGAGGAAGGGGAAGAGGAGGGGCAAGGGCGGCGCCGTGTGAAGATCCCCTTGTGGCCCAAACGGCCACAAACATAAAGTTAAAACACACACACACACACACACACAGCGGCAATCCAGGAGGGAGGAGCGAGGAGTGCAGCAAAGGGGAAAGCGCGCACGACAGGCAGCAACGGACAGGGGCGGGCATAGCGATACAAAAAAATATCCCAGCAAAGCAACCGAACAGCGATGTGTAGAAGCATATATACGAGCAGCCTCCTTAAGATTCATATGAGAAACCAATTGTAGAATTCTAAATCTGACCCTACAATCAACGGATGTGGGTCTACACGAGGCCCTGCTAAAAACGGATGAAGTTTCAAACGAGACGCTTGGGAGCTTGCATTTCAAAGGACGTGCGTCCACAGCGCACCCCTTGTGGCGAAGAGGAGATGCCAAGCCTGCCACAGTTGAATGACTGACTAATTATGTACATGTATGTTGGAATGAGCTTTATCCAAACATAAATGCATGGAGGTTTAATTGAAACGCAGCTAACAATGGATGTGAGCGAAAGGGGGCACTGCTATCAACTGATTTATCTCTGCGAGAGAAACCACTTACGAGACACTTTTAGGGGCGGATCAATGCTCGAAAGCAGAGCTGGAAGCATAGTCTGAAGTACTCTGTGCGTTCGCGAAAAGTATGTCCAGACGAGATCGCATTTAACCGCGAAGAGTATGTCGCGGAATGGGACATTGCTATCAACCGATCAACGGCCGACCGCCGTAGCATAGAAGCGTCTAGAAACGAAATGACATGAGCATCCACTATGAAAAATAGGTTGGCGCTGAACTCAACGCTGTTTGGAAGCACTCACAAGAGCAATGGCAGGCTGAGAAGCGCTGCGGGCTCAAGTGAGTCATTCCGTGAAGCGATACAGCAGGACCTGAGAGCTCAGAAGCACCGCAGACGCACGCATGTCAGCGGCGGCTGCAAGGCGAGAGGCTGAAGGTAAACATCGCCGGCTATCTGCAAGGCGTATAAGAACCCGCCAAGCAAGCAGAGAAATAACCGAACGCACGCTCGGAGCAGCAAGCTGAGAAGCATCGCTGGCAGAGCAGCAGCCTCTCATTTCAAGCTTTCTCCCGACGGGTGGGTTTCGAGGATTCTGCACTTCTTGGCTGAGTCCGGTGTCTTTGTCCACGCATTCATCCGCTTGTGCTCACCAGGTTGCTGAAGCTCTGTGCGCATGCCCAGTGTTCTCAATTTCTTGATGAAGTACTGCGCCTCTATCACCGCTTCCTCGTCGATGTGTGTTACGCTGTGCACAATGATAGCATCCTCTGAACAGCCTGTAATGAGCAACAGGCAGACCCTGTGCTTCGCTTTGTTCGGCGGATCCATCTTGAAGGAGAGCAAGTTGTCTATGGGGCAATAGCCGTGAATGGTCATCGCATGTAAATTTTCATCGTCGGAGACGTCCGTCACTCCTGGAGTAGACACGAGGAAACCACTCGCAGTGGAGACGCATCGGGACTTCTGTGTCGTGCGAACCAGAGCCAATGCCAAGTGGCAGTTCCGGGAAAGCTGAGAAGCATCACCTTCGCCACTCGCCGAGGGATACTGCACGCGCATGCTGTAGAAGGGGCAAGGACGTATCTCAGAGAGGTGTGCTGCGAGCATGGCGCCCTGGCTCTCGCGGCACTGTTTCAGGATCTCTAAGACTATGTTGTAAGAGGTATTGGGAGCGTGCGACAGCTGGAGCGGGGATGCTGCAACTACAGCGGTGTTCACAAAAGTCCGCTCAAGCGCGTCATCGTCAGATCCTGCAGGCACATGGCGGACGCGTCGTATTACGCGACAATTGCCCAAAGGAGGGATGGAGATAGCTCTCTCTTGGTGGACCTTCAGAAACTCGGCCATGGAATCAATGCCACTCAGTGCGAAGGCTGCCGCTTGGGAGACGGCTACTTTGCAGGAACCACTGAAATCGCGAGCAGTAGTAAGAAAGAATACGCGCTGACCTTTGCTCTCCACGACAGAGTCGCCAGGGTCGGGCCCCTCGAGCCTCACTCCGTTCACTTGCAACAAGTGTGGCAAATTTGCGCCCGGGTCTTCCGACGCCATCTCCAGAAAGGCACAGCAGGACAAGAGAGCGTCTCCCGTGAGAACTTGTGAAGCGTGATCTGGATTCCATGTGACCTCATGGGCGGCCGTGAGCTGCTCTCGATCCTGCGCGAAGTTTTCCTGCGCCGCCAGGTCTTTGAGCTTAGTCATTCTGGGACAAGAGCATGCGTCATCGACCACGCGATCCTGTGACAGGTTCAGCTCCAACTTGCCATCGAATTTGGCCGCTACGTTGAGAAACAGCAGCGGTTCGCCTTTGTGTGATCTGCATTTCTGTATGTTAGTTTCTCCCCAGACAGCAAGCACAACCTCCGCGGTCTTGGACTGCGTCGTCTGGCTCCCGCCCACCAGGTGGACATTTGCCACTGGGCCGTGGCCCATGGGAGTGCGAGTGTCTGAAACAGAATGAACCACTGCCATGACATCGAAGGAGCGACGCGACTTGATGTTCATCATGTCTGCCACAGTAGTCAGTGGAGCTGGCGCCGATGCCAAGGATTTCTCCTCTGGAGAGCTCTGGGGGACAGGAGTGCACGTTGTGCGCTTGAGATCGACCGCCGCTCGAACAGACGTGTGGATATAAGCGTCCTGCTACTGTCCGTCCAGGCCAAGCTTGGAGAGTTTCCATGCTGTGAGTGGACGGAATTTGTCTAGAGCAGCATGCACTTCTGAGGCAGTTCCTTTGAGGGTCGCCTCGCAATAGTGCTCGGAGCTCGTTCCTAGCAGAATGCAGGTGAATCGTATAGCGTCGATCTGCTGGCCATTGCGCTTGCTTTTGTAGGAGTACTTGAGCTCCCTTGGCATGTACACCCGGACTAAGAAGTCTTGGGTTGTAGCACTGCTCTTCGTGAGAGTGCCCAGTGGGGACGTTGGCTGTTCTGCAATAGTAGCCATGATGGCCCACTTTCAGAGACAGTGATGCGGGCACAGCGGCACAGTAGTGGCGACAGTTGCGCAGATCGCAGCCCCCCCATGGGACAGGGAGGCTTGACAATAATTTGCGTAGGACGCAACTCCGCTGGGCCTCCCAGGAACACACGGAAGTCGCGACAGTAGCGCAGATCGCAGCCCCCCCAGGGGACAGGGAGGCCTCAAAAGTGACCTGCGTAGGACGCACCTCCGCTGGGCCTCCCAGGAACCCACGAACGCGGCGACAGTTGCGCAGATCGCAGCACCCCCAGGGGACAGGGAGGCCTCTCAATGATCTGCGTAGGACGTACCTCCGCTGGGCCTCCCAGGAACCCGCGAAAGTGGCAACAGTTGCGCAGATCACAGCCCCCACCCCCCAGGGGACAGGGAGGCTTCAAAGTGATCTGCGTAGGACGCACCTCCGCTGGGCCTCCCAGGAACCCACGAAAGTGGCGACAGTTGCGCAGATCGCAGCCCCCCAAGGGGACAGGGATACTTCAAAGTGATCTGCGTAGGACGCACCTCCGCTGCGCCTCCCAGGAATCCACGAAAGTGGCGACAGTTGCGCAGATCGCAGCCCCGCAGGGCACCGCGAACACAATAGAAAAGAAAGAGGAGAGGGCGAGGACACACCTCCGCTGGGCCGGCCTCCCAGGAACCAGCGAAAGTGGCGACAGCTGCGCAGATCGCAGCCCACCCAGGGGACAGGGAAGCCTCACAGAGATCTGCGTATGACGTACCTCCGCTGGGCCTCCCAGGAACCCACGAAAGTGGCGGCTGTTGCGCAGATCGTAGCCCCCACCCCCCCAGGGGGACAAGGAGGCTTCAAAGCGATCTGCGTAGGACCTACCTCCGCTGGGCCTCCCAGGAACCCACGAAAGTGGCGACAGTTGCGCAGATCGCAGCCCCCCCCCCCCCCCTCAGGGGACAGGGATACTTCAAAGTGATCTGCGTAGGACGCACCTCCTCAGCTGCTCCTCCAGGAACCCACGAACGCGACAGTTGCGCAGATCGCAGCTCCCCCCTGCTCCCCCCCCTCCCCCCCCCCCAAGGGGACAAGGAGGCCTCGAAGTGACCTGCGTAGGACGCAACTCCGCTGGGCCTCCCAGGAACCCACGAACGCGGCGACAGCTGCGCAGATCGCAGCGCCCCCCCCCCCCCAGGAGACAGGAAGGCCTCAAAGTGATCTGCGTAGGACGCACCTCCGCTGGGCCTCCCAGGAACCCACGAAAGTGGCAAGAGTAGCGCAGATCACAGCCCCCCCCCCCAGGTGACAGGGGGGCACCTCCGCTGGGCCTCCCAGGAACCCACGACAGTGGCGATAGTTGCACAGATCGCAGCACCCCAGGGGACAGGGAGGCCTCAAAGTGATCTGCGTAGGACGCGCATCCGCTGGGCCTCCCAGGAACCCACGAACGCGGCGACAGTTGCGCAGATCGCAACCCCCCCCCCCCCCCTCCCCAAGGGACAGGGAGGCCTCAAAGTGACCTGCGTAGGACACACCTCCGCTGGGCCTCCGAGGAACCCACGAACGTGGCGACAACTGCGCAGATCGCAGCCCCCCCAGGGGACAGGGGGGCTTGACAATAATTTGCGTAGGACGCAACTCCGCTGGGCCTCCCAGGAACACACGAACGCGGCGACAGTTGCGCAGATCGCAGCACCCCCAGGGGACAGGGAGGCCTCGAAGTTACTGCGTAGGACGCACCTCCGCTGGGCCTCCCAGGAACCCACGGAAGTGGCGACAGTTGCGCAGATCGCAGCCCCCCCAGGAGACAGGGAGGCCTCACAATGATCTGCGTAGGACGTACCTCCGCTGGGCCTCCCAGGAACCCACGAAAGTGGCCACAGTTGCGCAGATCGCAGCCCCGCAGGGCACCGCGAACACAAGAGAGAAGAAGGAGGAGCGCGCCCCACGTCATTTCAATCTAGGCGCGCGCGCCATCATCCGCCACGTCCCGATCACGGAATAATCCCGCCACCATTCCCCCCCTGGAACCCTTCCACTTCGAATGTATTCCAAGCCCCCTCATAGGTCCATGACCGACGTCCATCGCGCGACTCTTCGAGTCGAAACGCGCGCCCCGTCGTCCGCCGCGCCCCGGCCCCAGAGCGACCCAGCCAACGCTCCTCCCCTGGATCCTTCAGCTTGATTAACATTCACCCTCTGGGCCCGTGCGCACCGCCCGTCGCGCGACCCCTCCCGCCAACGCGCGCTTCTCGTCAAAAGTCAGCGTGCCCAACTCTGGGGGATGTCCCGAGCAAAAAGCTGGTGTTCGTAATCTCTTTGTTGCGAGCAATTGGTATTTGCCAGGATGTCTCAAGCGAAATGCTTGAGCGAATCCGCCGCAATCCCGAGGTGCACGTCTCTTTCCACTGTTCAGATGCGTTGCAGATTCAGCCAGAACGCCCAGCTCGCTTCTCGCTCCTCGAAGACGCCGTTTTGATGCCGCAGCCCCAGCCTCAGAAGTCTCGCAGGGAGGCCCCCGCGCGTGCACGCGCGCGAAACGCGCGAGGCGGCCGCGCTCTGGCAGCAAGCATCGCGCGCCAGCCCCCGGCCCTCTGGTCGCGAAGCTGGCGGCGGGCCAGAGCTGAACGCAACGCAACTGATAGCCCGCAGGGGGCGGCATCCTTAAAACCTCAAAGGTGCTCAGCGTGAGACGGTGCCGAGCCGCTGACGCAATCTCACTACTTATTTACATGTGTTTTGCTCTTTACCTGATAATTGAAAGCTGGCGACGCGGCCTCGCGAGCGGCAGCCCGGCGGCAGTCGCGGTCGCCGCCGATCGTTCCCCCATTTCCCCACCGCCACTTCTATTCGCGCCTCGGGGGGCGGGCGGCCGCGATCGCAAGGGGGTGCCGGTCCACCGCCGGGATCCGTCGAACTTGGGCCATCAGTTCTTTCCTCCATCAGGCATTCGATTATGAAGCGCCGAGCAGGACCGACTCCTTCATGGGGGCCAGCGCGCCAAGCCGCGCCCCCCATCTCTGCCGCTGCCTTCGCGCTAGCAATCGCGGCCTCGCCCGCGCCCTAGCCCCGGGGGGCGGCGCTCTGCCGATTCGGATGCCCGCGCCGAAGGGCGCTCACCGATCTGGGGCCCCCAGCTTGGGGGGCCCACAACCCGCTCCGAAAGACGCGACATCTGTAGAACTCCACCGCGCGAGGCGCGACTGGGACGTCGTCTTCCCCCTTCCCAGAAGAACCACAGTGCGGAGGCCCACGAGAGAGCCGACTCACTCCGCAAGGGCGTTGCTCCACTCGACGCCGTAGCTTCGAAACTGCAGCGCAGGCGCGCAGCAGCTCTCGAGCGCGGAAAATACCCGCGCCCTTACCCTGGCGGGGCGGCAAAGGGCGGGGGGGCCGACGCGCCGCAGCCGACGGCAATTGCGCAAATGCAGATTCGACGGCCCATGGAACATTGCAAGGCGCTGACTTCTCCGGGCATCCGCTGGCACCGCAGGCGCGCGCGCTCCAATCGGCAGAGTGGCCGACCGCGCATTCGTCGCTCTCGGGCCAGAGTAGCTCGTTCGGAGGCGCGCCCGCGAAGGCGCGCAATCAACCGTTTAGGGCTCGACGCGCAAAATGCGCCCTGGGCGCCCGGGGCGGACGCCGCTGCAATCCCGCGGTCGCCCCAAACGCCTGGGGCCCCGACTGCCCGGCGCGGTCGCCAGAGGCTGCCCCCTGGAAAACCCGCCTGGCGCCACCTCAGCTAGGCCCCGACACGCGTCGGGGGTCGCAGTCGCCGACGCGCGTTGATGGTGCCCCCGGACACGTGCCCGCGCCTGGTCGCGGTGACGTTTGGTCGAACTCTCTCTCGGGCGCGCGCGCGGCCCCCGAGAGCGCCCCCGAACGCAGCCGCAGCGGCCCCCGGGGGCGCGCGCGCGAGATTGCAGCGACGCTCCTGCGGGCAGGCCCAAACGCACAGGAGCGGCGGTGCCTGCCACCACATGGGACAGGCACCACCACTCCAATGATGTTCTGAACCCCGCGGACACTCCCGATGCCCCCAGACGCCCCTGACGCAAGCCAGGGCATGTCGCTGCAATCGAACAACTAGCCGTTCAGCGCGTCGTTGCGCCCTGACGCGCAGACGCTGAAACGGCGCGCGCGCGACAGGCTGATCGGGCCCAGTGGCGAGCGCCCAGTCCAGCGAGCGGCCCTTGTCACCCAGGCCGACCCTGGGTAGGGGTATCTTTAGGACCAATGAGCAACGGCGTCTGCTCCGGGGTCTGAGTTTCGAATTTAGTATCGCGAAACTGCGTGGGAAGAATTGGCGGAGAGAGGGTGGTGCTGTTGCGCAACGCCAGTCTACGCTGGTTCGCAACTTCGCCCTGCCCCTCGCAGAGGCCCGGCAGTGACTCCTGATGCTGCGCGCCAACTCGTCTCGGTGCGTCTGCTTGATGAGATCCACGGGGCCCCGGGGAGGTCGCGTCGCCCCCGGGCGCTCGGTTCTCCAGCGCAAAGGCATTGGCCCGCGCGGCGAGGGCTAGCGCAAAGGAGCGAGAGCTGCGCGACACCCCCATCGCACACGGCGCCTGCTGTGCGGGGGCTCGCTGCCCCGCGGACTCCCGGGCGCCGCCTGGAACCGCTCGAGCCGAAGCCGGTCGAGAACGCCACCCGTCACCCACCAAACGAAAGGCTCCTTCGCGGCGGAGGGCCGCGCACCCTTCAACTCCCATCAGTTTCTCGTTCCGGGACTACGGCCCCTGTTATGCGTCAAAGACGACTCCCGCGCAACATCGACCAGCATGTCTGTTAGACATGATTAGTTTGCAGATTCAGCCAGAAGGCCCAGCTCGCTCCTCGTCGTTCCCAGCGCATTGGTAGAAGCGAGGGGAAGGTGAGGACACCGATGTGGGACTCCCTCGACTCAGCCTGTCCACTGCGTCGTGTCCATCGGGTGGGTCGCCCTTGAACCAACGTCACCGTCTGGCGAAAATAGTGCGGCAGGCTGTGGAAACTCCATTGTGTTGTGCACCTAGGTCGCCTTGGTCATCGGATTCCCGCGCCTCACAAGGCTCCAGGACGCCGGTGCCGCCTTCCACCACCGTTCGCATACGCTCCGGATCACCCAAAGAGAAATATCATTGCATCCTGACCAGTCAGAAGTTCGGTCGACGAATCTGCATGTGACCACCAAGTGTGATGGCGGGTGGGACTTTCGACCCCCCAAGGCGCGGTAGGAAACAGAACGGATCACTTGGGCCCAGAAGCCTTCGGAGACGCTTCCCGTCATCTGCCGACCCCGCTTGCCCAGGGTGAGAGAACGTGCGAAACCTTTGGCTGTCCCCCCTTTTCCGGGGGTCCAAAATCAAACGTCCACTTTAGAGAGGAGGCCCAGGAGAGGAGTTCCTTAACGCACCTTCGAGGCCTTCAAATCCTCTAGATCAGCCCTCCGACGCATCCGACATGCCTGGGGTGCCATCGAAGGCATCTCCAGAAGGACTCCAACATGCCTGAGAGACCTGAAGAAGAACTGAAGAGGCCAGAAGAGACCCTAAGAACGGCGAACGAACTCCCACCAGAGAGCCCAAACACCAAAAACAATGGACAACATGATGTGTTGTCACTGTTCTTGTGCCGCCTCTCTCTTTCGCGCATAGACGCTTCCGGGAGGGTCGGGGAACGCTCCAGGATATCCCCAAAACGTCCCCAAGATGTCTCAAAGATGGCCAATCGAATGCCTCAAATGGCCCACCAGACGGCTGGCCTCCAAGACGGCTGGCCTCCAAGACGGCCCAAGACTTACCCAATATGGCGTCAACACTCCCCATATGGGCCCCGAGACCTTTCAAAACGACACAAACAAATACTCTTGGGGCACCAAGCACGTTTCGGCGTGGGTCGCAGTACAAGCCCAAATCTTCGGTCACACACGCAACAAGCATCTCCAGACCAAACCCCCAACGCGCACGGAGTGAGAGATTTGGGTGCCAATTCCCTCCCAGGGGCCCACCGTAATTCCATCTCTGCGTGGTCACTCAATGCTCGCTCCTGATGTTGACGACACTGGAATGGAATAAAAAGATTGGCCATTCAAGGCACAGTCTCTCACCGCCCTCGTCCTCATTACTGCAACCATGGCGGTCCCCCACCTCCCAATCATCTCCCTATCTCCCTCCTTCGCCTCCACAGAATCCCTATCGTCGAAACCCTCGAGCAGAACCCAACGTACCACAACACGACCGACCACCAACCAAAGAGGTGCAGGTCGACACACTGAAGAACTATTCGCAATGACTTCTCGGCATCCTGAACACTCTCCCCCTTCTTCATTGCCTCCCTGTCCCTCTTGTGCAACACTCAACTCTTCGTCGTCGCCATGCACTCGATCGAACTTGGGCATTCCGTACAGGCCATGATGCACTCGCCATGGGACCAGCAGAATTGCAAAAACCTTTGGAACCAGCGCCAACAATAATATACACATTATCACTTGCGGTTTCAAGTACGCCATACACAGTTTGGTCCCATCCAGGGGATTACGTGTATGACTCGCTTCAAAATGTAACAACTTGCTGCGAACACCGTCCTTGGCCGACCCCCGCCACTTCCTCCTGACAGACTCTGTCCGAACGCCCGAAGCCACACATTCCCTTAGCCGCCAATGTCCAGCGGAGCGCCGGCCCATAGCTGAGTGGCCACTACCGAATTTTATTATGCCGCAGCGCTTCGAGCCACGTTGGGACGGACATCAACTCCTCCTCCTTCGTGGTGAAGCCGAATTCGTCGAAGTCAGCAGGGTCTTGGGCAAGCGCTGGATCATGGGGACACTGGCGGTCCTTTTCTCAGACAGTCGCAACAGACCTACACACTACCATTTTTTGTGCCTTTCCTCCCACTGATTGCCGCTCACCGCAAAACAAGCAACAACTGTCGGCGTGAGGGGCTTCCGCTTACGCGACTCCGTTTCAAGTCGCACACATGGTGGCTGCGTCGGGGCAGGCAGATGTCGTCGCGTTTATCTCCTCCTTCCAGCCAAAGGGGACCGGCGGGCCCAGTTTGGGGGGGGAGGGGGTGCCTCGCGACCTCGGGGGGGCCAGGAGGGCCCGGCGGGGGCCAGCTGGGGGGGAGGGGCAGAGGGGCGAGGCGTCGCGGGGGCCCCAAGGGGTGCGGGGGGGAGGGCAGGCCCGTCGCCTCGTGGCGCAGGAACGCGCGAACGGAACTCAAAAATAAACGCCTGTGGCGCTGCATTTTTCATTGGATCTGCCCCCCCCCCCCCCCCTCTACACACACACACGCAATAGTTTACCGATGCGCGGAGCAAGGGGAAATCAGCGCCTGCGGCGGGCTTCAGAACACAATCGATTGTTCCACGGAGGTTGCACGAATTCGGCGCCGGCGGCATGATTTTTCCTCCATGTCCTCTGGCCCTGCAGACGGCCAGTCGCCTCGCGACGTCTTCCGAATCGCAGCGCGCCGCGCCGAACCCAGACAAGACCCTCAATCCGATACGCATCTATGCAAATTCTGGCATCGCTGTGCCAATGTTTGTCTTGCTTTCCCGACTCCTCCGGAGCAAAGCCAGGATGACCCGCCAGGAACGTGGCCGGCGTGGGCTTCGAAGCGAAGAGCCAGTCCTCCGATGTCTTGCCAGAGCCGAAGCCGCCTGTGCCCACTGCGCCCGCTCGCGCGGCGGCTTCTCTGCCCAGGCCCTGCACGTCGGCATTGCCCGCGGTGTTAGGGACGGCGCTCTCTGTTGGCGGCTGAGGTCGGGCTTGGGGGCCCGCGGCCCGGGCCATGGAGCGAGCGGGGCCAAGGAATAGATTTCCAACCGTTGCACCGCCCGATCATCACAAGAGTTTGTTCATTAATCCTGCTCCTGCCCACGCTCCAGCCTACTTTTCCTGTGTCTGCTCTGCCGACTTCTCCAACTCGGGCTTTCCCTTATTTGCTGTCGATTTCTACGCGTGTTCGGCTCGTGTTTCCGCCACCGTGCTGGCGGCACGTCGGGCCGTGTTAGAGCCTGGGCTGGCACGGCAACGGAAAGAGCGCTCTCGGGAACTGGCCCGCGATGGCTCACATCACCCGTCGTACTTGGAGCATTGGCGGCCCGAGCCCTTTACGTCGTTGTTCGTACCGGGAGCCTTGCTGACAACAGCTTTCCACGTCATCGTTCGTACTGGCAGCTTGGCGCTCAGAGCTTCCAACGTCATCGGGAGCTCTTGGGAACCTTGGCGCCCGAACCTTTTTACGCCAAGGACTCGCCTAAATATGTGGTGTTTTCCACCACCTGGAGCTCTTGGGAGCCTTTGTGTCAACGCTGCGCCCATTACTGGGCCGTCTGGAAGGGGGAGACTTGGCATCAAAGCTGTGTCCGTCACTGTCGTCGTGGGGCCCGGGGGCAAGCACCACCATCCGTATGTAGGAGCCTTCGTGTTTACAGTTTGTTACGTGATCCGCCGGCCCCCTTGCGGGGCCACTAGGCTACGAGGATGAGGACTGCAGCTCCCTGTTCCAGTTGCAGTTTCCAGTTTCCACTGTTACAGTCCTGCTTTCTGCTTCCTTACTGATAATTCGCCGGCCCAACGGGCCAGAGGCGTGCTAAGATCTCCGGTAACTTGTTAACAATATTTCTAGTTCGCGCGCGCGGAGCAGCCCCTGGGGGCCCCCGGACGAAAAATACCCCGGCAAGGTCCCGAGAGAAGCCCGGGAGAAGCCCCCAGACCACTCCAGGGGAGGGTATTTTTCGACACCCCTCACGAGGATCGTGGCCTCCGAGGGGGGAGCCGCAATCGACTACCCCCAAGAGCCCCCCAAGAGGCCCTGGGGGCCTCCAAAACGCCGCCAAGGAGCCCCAAGAGACTCCCAAGAGGTCCCCAAGAGGCCCCCAAGAGGCCCTAAAGAGGGCTCCAGGGCCGGCGGCATGAGCGAAGCGATTAAATTAATGCTGAGCGCGCGAGGGGGGGGAGCCCCAAACCAGCTTTTTTTTTTTTACCACGCCCAGATCGCGTTGTCTGAATTTCTGGGGGGGGCGTAGGACACTTGAACATACATGATATTCGAGTCCCCGATGCCATAATCCCTGTTAAATTACACCATATTCGCGTCCCCGAGGCCACACACCATGGTAAATTACGTAACAGTCGCGTCCCCGAACCCATAATCCATAGGAAATTACGCCAAACTTGCCCCCGAGGCCGCGCAATGCTCGCGCCCCCGAAACCAGAAGCCCTTGCACATTATAAAATATTCGCTCCCCCGAAGCCATAAACCTTGTCGGAAATTGCATCAGTTTCGCGTCCCCGAGGCCATCAACCATAGTAAATTATACAATATTCGCACCCCCAAGGCCATACACCTTTGTAAATTACACTATCTGTGTGTTCCCGATGCCACAAAACTTTGTACATTACGCAATAATCGCGTCACCGAAGCCATAAACCATAGTAAATCATTATTTGTTTCGCGCCAGCGAAATCACAATCTTTTGTAAATTAACATTGGCCATCGCGTGAAGTGTCGACACTGCTTCACGTCAGCGTCCAGACATCCAAACACAGCTCTGGCAACTCCCATTCTAAGAGGGGGGGGGCTGGCGGCATGGGGACGAAGCCCTTACGGATAGCACAACATCGAGTTCTTGGGGGTCCTCTTGGGGCCCTGTTGGGTCATCCTGGGCAGTCTCGGGGCTCTCTTGGGGGTCTCTCCGGGGCCCTCTGGGGGCTCTCTGGGGAGCCTTTGCGGTCCTCTTAAGGCGTTTTGTGGCCTTCTTGGGCCATGTTGCGGCCCTCTTGAACCGTTTTGGGGCTCTCTTGGGCCGTGTTGGGGCCCTCTTGGAGGCCTGATGGGCCGTCTTAGGGCGATCTGTCTGGCCTCTTGGGCAGTCATGGGCCGTCGGAAGCCCGAAAGGGCGATAATACTAAAAGCCGTCAAACACCTAAGCGAAATCAATGTTTTTGGCTTCCTGAGGCCCTCTGGGAAGTCCTCTGGCGCTGTCGTGGGGTCTTCCTCGACCGTCTTGAAGGCATATGAGGCCATCTTGGAACAGTCTTTGGCGGTCCTGGGCTCTCTTGAAGCACTCTCGGGCCGTCTCGGAGCCGTCTTGGACCTCTCTTGGGCCGTCTTGGGCACTCTTGGCCGTTTTGGGGGGCCTTCGGGGCCGCCTTGGGGGAGGGCGGGCGTATTACCCAGGATTGGTCCAGTTTCGCCCCTCCGCTTGAATCCCTTCCCAAGAGGATTCGCCCCACCAAAGCGTCATCACTCGTACCTCGCTCTTTTCGTCATGCTCCTGAGGAGCATGACGAAAAGAGGAGTCCTCTGTTGTCTGGCGGGGTATCTGCATTGTTTCTGGAACCGCCCCCCCCTCGCCCCGCACATCCTCCGAACATCGTCCTCCCTGGTTCTTCTACCTGGCGCTTTTCTGTGCCTCCAAATGACTCCAAGAGAGCCCACGACCGCCCAAAAACAGGTACAAGACGGCCCCAACACGGCCCAAGAGAAGTCCCTGATACCTCGCCAGACAACAGAGGAGTCCTCTGTTGTCTGGCGAGGTATCTGCATTGTTTCTGGAACCGCCCCGCCCTCGCCCCGCGCATCCTCCGAACATCGTCCTCCCTGGTTCTTCTACCCGGCGCTTTTCTGTGCCTCCAAATGACTCCAAGAGAGCCCACGACCGCCCAAAAACAGGTACAAGACGGCCCAAGTCATCGGAAGAGAAACATCGAGACCCCAAGAAACCATGAGAGACCACGAGACGTGGAAAGAACCCTGCAGTGAGGCCCTCAGAGGCAGAATCCGTTGCAAGACACGATGAACATCAATGTCTGTTTGCTTCCGACGCTTTTCGGCGTCAAACCGCCTCGGAAGGCATCAGGGAGCGCCCACAAGTGCCCAAGACAGCCCTGGTCTTAAAAGCGCCCCAACACAGTCCTAGGAACACACTTTTCAGTATCCTGACGGCTTCAAAACAGCCACAGGCCACCCACAGCGCCTGCAAGACGCCTCAAGACCGTCCGAAGACGGCCCACTGAGCTCCCACAGGCTCCAAGACCTCCTAGGGTGCCCCAAGAGGCACCCAAATGCCCCCAGGAGACGAGACGCCCACAGCGGCCTTAGCGAGAACGATGTTCAATTCAAGACAATTGGAACGTTGATGTTGTGTGCGGCTGAAACGATGCGGTTGCAGATCGCCACGGGAAAGCCCCAGATACTCACAAGACGCACCCAAGACAGCGCATACCTCCTTCAAGAAAGCTCGCATATGGCCCGAATGCTGCACGAGAACTTTCCAACACGGCCCAGGAGGGCTCCCTGACGGTCCCAAGACCCGCCCAGACGTCCCTACGATGGCTCAGCCGACACTCTTCGGGAGAGCTCGGCGGAATCATCGCTCCCACGACAGCCTCGAGATCCCCGATGGGCCTCAACTCTGCCCCTGGCAAGCGCCAAGCAACTCTCCCGGAGAGCCCCAATAGGTCTCACGACCAACTGAGAAAATGAGAGCAATGTCGACATTCAGACCTGCGCGAGCTCAGACCGCCCGCTGCACTGGCGTGGGTCATGAGGTCAATCAATGTTCTTCCTGCTGCGCTGCTTCATTGGCAACCCGCCCAACGGCCCCCCCCAACAGGTCCCCAAGAGGGCCCAGGAGACTCCAGCAACACCCGAAATACCCCTCCCCCCCGAAGAGCCTCCAGGATGCCTCCGACATGGAAGAACGAAGCAGGGACTACAGGAGAACCGCAGAGGAAGGATGAGTGGAAGAGGGAACCAAGGCTGTGACCAACGAGGGGGTGCCCAAGACCTGCACCAATTCAAACAGGGCACTGCTGTGGAGCGGGTCTTACAATCGACGCAAATTCCTGCTGCACGGCTGCGCTGGGGTGCGGTGGCAGAGTTTGCCCGCAAGCCGCGGGGCACCCCTTCTCAACTCACAAGATAGCATTGGGGCCCTCTGGTCGGAAATTTCGAAGCGACGCACCAATCGGCTCCCGAAACAATCCAGAACGAACCGCACGCAACCGCTCAGATTGGGAAGATGGCGAGGAGGAGCGCGTAAGGGAAACTTGGTGATGATGACGGCGGCGGAGGCGATGACGATAACGACGGGATGGCGATCAAGAGGTGGAGGAATAGGAGGGGAGAAGTACGGAACAGGGGCGAGAAGGGCGAGGAAGGGTCGGGGGAAGAGTTCTTTTGGTTCTCTCTGTTTCTCCCTCCACCGTAGCGCACGCACCACGCTCCACAGTCAATCGCCCTTGTGAAGGCGCGCGCCCAGGCGGGCACGCGCCCACTTGGATGGAGAAGAGAGGCCACACATCGAAGCAAAATGGGCGGCAGGCGGGGCGGCAGGGCACTCTTGGAAAACGGTCGGTGCACCCCTGGCGCCCGAGCGACAAGGAAGGCAGCGACCACCGTCCCACGAGGCCCGCCGACGGCCCAGCGCCAGGCGAAGAGGCCACCTAACACACAATAGTCGGCAGCGGCACCAACACCGCGGAGCAACAGCAGAGGGACACGCGGGATGGGAAGCACGCGGCACGCGGCAGCGCCAGCGATGAAGCAACGGCCGCAGGGGGCACACAAGGGGACATCAACACGCGCGGGGGGAACCCGAAAAACAAACGAGAACCCCAACAACCACCAAGCCGCGCTCCCTTTCCTGCCAGGCAGCCTCGTACTCCAACGAGGCGTCGCGCATAGAGAAGAGACCTCGCTGCCAAAGAGCAGGCGCCTCGCACTTCAACGAGAGCCTCGCGCGGGCGGGGGGGAAACAAAAACTGCCCGACTGAGAAGCGCAGCGCTGGCGGATCGGGAGGCAGGCCGTCTGAGGGCGCCTTGCCCGCGGCACCGCCCCCCCCCCAGCACGTGGCGACAAAAACCCAACCGAAACGCAAACAGGCAGCGCCGGGGGAACGTTGTGGAGAGCCCGCCGGGACCAAGAGCGGCGAGGGGCAGGGCGGGAGCGGCGGCCGAGAGAGCAAGAGAGCAAACGAACACAATCGGCAACAGCAAATGAAACCGCGAGGGGTCCTTGGCTCAGTGCGCCCAGGGCGCAGTGGCAACTGAACGCACATTTCATCAACGCGGCACAATTAGCCTCGAAAAGGAGAAGACAATGCGCGGTTGGGTCCACCGACTCACCCGGGCCCAGGCCAGGGTCCACGCCTAGGTACTAACGCAAAAACTCACACGGAGGCAACGACGCAAGGGCAGTCAACAAGACGAGGACAAGCCGCGGAAGGAAACCGCCACGTAGGCCTGTGGTCGCAGCCACGGCCAGCTAAAACGGAAAAGCAGGAAACAAGCACTCAATCCAACTGTGGGCAAAAGGCTGGCAGCTGAGGTGCTTTCATCGCTGGCGCTGTCTGCGCCGTCCGCGGCCGCAGCCTGGCGCGTCGCCCCAACGGCGGGCAGAGACACAAGAGAAACTCAGAACAGCAGGAGCAAGCGAGGGCCAAACGAAGAAGAGAGGAAAGCGGGGAACCCGCAGGGCCTGGGAGGACAGCAAAGCAGTTTAGGGTCGTGGGGCTAACCTCTCCGTACTACGAATCACAGCAGCAGCCTCCTCTCGCATCTCCTGGCGCTTCGCCTGCGACGAGTGCGGGATATTTGCGACGGGCTCAGAGCAATGCCGTGGCGGTGGTGGGCTTGCGTCCGAATTGCGGCGTCCGCGCAGGCGGTGGCGGCAATATCCCAATCGATCACCCACTTCGGACCGAGGAGCACGATAATATTTAGCCATGCGTTTTCACCGTTGACTTCCTGCTTCCGCGCACGTGGCAAATTCGCGACCCCTGGGGCCCGCTGCAGATCAGGCGACTGCAGCTCTGCACGCTCCTTACAACGAAGCATCTTGTCGCCCCCCCCCCCCCGCGACGAAAGCGCCGCCCGCGGTCCTCGCAATGGAAGCGAGCAGACGCGCCGACCACCCTCGATACGATCCGAATGATACCTGTGGCTAGGAGTATACACTGCTCCAGACCGGCGCTGTAACTGGAAGGAAGTGCCAATCTGGACCTCACCGAACCATCGCCCTATCCTTGCCTGGAAATGACCGAGGGGAACTGCCTGGCCCGAACCCCGCGGAAATACTTACGAATCTTGGCCTGCTACAACGTCCGATCACAAACAATCAACAATATTCCCGCTCGCATTTCAAACCGTGAACTTCTTCCACCAGCCCGGGGCTTGTCTGAAGGGAGAGACACCATCGTCGTACAGACCGTCCGTTAATCGTTCCAAATCAAAGATCGCCCGACCTAAAGCTTTACAGTTGAATGCAATGCGGCGTTCGGTGGCTTCATTCACGGGCGAGAGATCTGCGAGCTCCAGACGCGCGGAACCCCCCACAACTGTGTGAGCACACAACAGATGAGAGCATACCTCGACCCAGCTGCGAGGATCTTCGAGTCGAAAACAAGCTGGTAAGCTTAGGTATACAGTCCGCCTTAGGCGCTTCCATATCCCAGGCTTAGGCTCATAGCGCATGAGCAAGAGAGCGAGACGAAGCATGGGATCTGGAGTAAAGAGTAAGATGGGCATCGTCAATGGAAAGGATGTTTTCCGATCTCAGATGCAAGTAGTGCGCCTCGGTGAGGCACAGTCGCATATTAGGCCGGGCCCGGCTTGAGCCAGGCACGGCAGCGGTACATGCTCGATTTATACCTCGCCTTTAACCTTCTCCGTTTAAAGTCGGAGGGGGAGGAGACGAGCAGGTACCGCACTTCTATTATGCGGAAAAACAGTGCTAAGCAGCAGCGGCTGCCTACAAGGAAAGGGCGCGCGAGTAGCCTCGCTACCGGCGAGTTTCCTCGCTGCTAAAGCGCACCTGCCCGCGGGTTTCCCCGCTGGCTCGGGAGGCAGGGCCGTCCTGAGACGACCTGGCCGCCCTATACGGCGTATGTTTCTTCAGCTCGTGCTTGAAGGATTGCTGGCCGGCCATTACTTGTAGGAGCAACGCGCGGTCAATGCTACCTTTGGTATGACCATCGGCAGTCATATCCCGCGTGTCACACCATTGGACGCTTTCCACGATTCCACGTTCCATCATCTGGCGAATCCAGCTGATGTGCCCAAGCAGAGTACACTCTGTGGGCTTCTTCAGATCCTTGCTAGACAAAGATTTGAAGACAGACTCGGCATCAATAGTCAGAGTGACTTTGATACATAGACCACCCATTTCCAATATGTTCTTCAACTGTGTGGGGGTCAATGGTCCCGAGTGTAGCTCGTGGAGCGTTACAATGGTCGGGTAGCAGTCTTCCAAGTTGTGGGCTGCTGCCAGTGTTTCCGCAGAGTAGCTCGAACGCACCTGCAGTCGATGAGACTTGCAGTATGCGTCCACCAGGTGCACGACGGGTTTCCCCGCTTGCGTGTGGCCACGCCTCAGCAGGTTAGCCCCGCGGATACCATAGCCTTTGACTTCGTCGTCTTCATCTCCGTTGAGACGACGATAGCCAGAATCGCTATGCAGGTCGACTTCTCCTGTTGGAGTCATAGCATGATACACGATCTTCTTCGGGCCTGCCTGCAATTTTCTGGTAACCGCGTTTAGTCGTCGTACCTGGATGTTTGTCGGTTCTTGGATACGTTGTAGTGAGACAACATAGACCATTAGCCATACCTGCGTGATCAACGCATAGGCTAGAGCGCCACGAAGACTGACGAACATATCAGAAATTGTCTTCGTCGCCTTGCTTTCAGGATCAGCTCCTGTGAGTTCTGGATGTGTGATAGGACGAAGCTGTTTGATGTATTCGTCCTGGTCGAGAGTGACGCTCCCATCATCGGTCTTGTTGTACCGGACAGCACAGTTCGTGTATGTGTGCTTGTTCAGTTTGCACTTCCCAAACGTATCTTCAACACACTTGACATACTTGTCGATAGCCTCTTCCTTCCCAGTCATATTGATGTCATCAACGTGCTTGGCTGTCAAGAGGTTTGGGCTCATCTCGAATTCTTCGTCGTATGAAGTAGGCTGTAGCCCAAAGCTCCTAGTGATGGACCTGAGCTTCAGCGAGAATGCCCTGGGAGCATCCTTCGTGCCTGTCCCCGGTTTCAGACACCGGAGACAATGCTTTGATTCGTCATATGACTCAAAGCCTGGCAGTGTGCGAAGGACAGCTGCAGATCCAGGTGGTAGTGTGAAACACACCACACGTTCTTTCTCGCCCGTTGCCGCGGCGAGCTCGCCATAGGTCAGTCCCTTCAAGAAAGCCATGTTGATGTCCAGGGAAGCGATGATCCAAGCTTTGTTGCATGCAGCAGAACTTGCGAGCAGTCTCTGGCTTGACCTCCTTGCCGTGCCAGAGAAGGTTTCGACGTCAAAGGCTTCGAGGTCCATGAAGCCACGGAGTACCAAGCGTAACCGGATCGTCCTTTCCATTTCGCCCTTTTCGTTCTTGACAAACTTCCATTTGTATACGTAGCGTGACGTCATGATGTTAGACGCCTTGCTTAAGTCAGTCATCTGGAAGCATTTGTTGTCAAGCCACGTCTTCAGCTCTGTGTAGAGGGCTTTGGAAACTTTGACCGGATTTGCTTGGATGTCGGCCTTCGTGAGTAGATCGTCTTCCTTGACGACCACGGCACGTTTGGAGGCAGCGCTAACGTATACTCGCATAGTTGTGACGCTGCTGTCATCCAACAGTCGGTGTTGCTGCTCGGACAGGACGACTTTGGACATGTCTGCTGTGAAGCAGAGCTCGATATACTTCCCGTGCTCATCGGAGTCCAGATCATATTTGCTATCCGGTTCCGTGGAGCATAAAGGAACGTAGTAAGAAGTGTCCATGTCGTATCCTGGCGGGTGACCCCGCTCCGGCAAGTGGCCTTGCACATCTTCACAGGTCGTAGAGACTAATA